AAAGAAAGAAAGAAAGAAAAAGTAGGAATTAATGAGAGAAAAAGTAGATAAGATTCTTGTTAGCTGCTCCTTACAATAAGTGTGCTCAAGGGTGAGACAGAATTTGGTCTTTTTTATTATTTATTGATTTCAAGAACCTGGCCCCATAGCTTTTAGTTGTATCATTGCAACCACGAGCAGATTAATCCTTCTATATTTGTTTTGTCAGTATATAAAATGAGAATTATAACAGTATATTCCTCCCAGGGTCCCAATGATCAGATCAATTAGTACATGCAAAGCCTTTAATAGTACTTGGCACATAGTAAGTGCTTAATAAATATTAGCCATATTATTGTCTTAAACTTCAGTCTGGCTTCTTATACTGTTTCCATCTACTCAGTACTACAAAACACCTTGCCTTGCTTGACTTTCTCCTCCAGTATTCTGTAATTGCTCTTTGCCCACCTATTTCCAGTCATTCTAGTTGAAGAATTAAATTTTTTACCAGGTCAGCTCTTTGAAATATTTTCTAGTTATTCCCACTTGCCACAGGTTTTTGTTCTTAATTTTAACATTGTGCTTATCCAAATCTAACAAAATAATTATGATTCATTCTTTCCCAACAGCCTATATACTTCTTACAGGAGGAGGCTGTTCCTTATTGGCACTTAACTATCCAAGGTCCGCTATGGAGTGGATATTCAAGGACACTTGTCAAAATTGCTCTGATTTTAATTTTTTACTAACAAGATCCTTGTTAGACCAGAAAAGAGTTGACTTTATCCATGTGGTGGTGCATGCCTGCAGTGGCAGCACTCTGGATCACAGTTCAGGCCATCTGGGCAACTTCGTGACTTAGTGAGATGAGTTTCAAAATAAGAAGGGGATATAGGTCAGTGTGAGTGCCCTGGGCTAAATGCTCATTGCCTGAAAAAATGTTTAACATGTACTTTTTTCCCTTTAAAATATTTTTGGGGGCTGGTGAGATGGCTCAGTGGTCTAAAGCACCTACTTAGAACAAGCTTAGTAAATCACAGGGACTGCAGTTCAATCCCCCAGCACCACATGCCAGCCAGCCCCGCCCCCTGGTGGGCTGAGCTGCCCTCCTCCACACACAAATAAATAAATAAATAAATAAAAATTTTTGTTTCATTTTATTTTTGTAGGTAATAAACTTGGAGCTTACTGGTAGAATATTTTTGTTTCGAATTTTTATTGCTCAATAGCCCAAGCTTAATAATTTTAAATAAGAAAACTTACATGTTTGATTAATAACAAACACTTGTCTTTACAAGCACACATACACATAAGTATGTTAGAATACTATTTTTTTTCTAATTTTATTTTATTTTGAAGAATAAAAGCAGAAGCAAAAACAAATAGAAAAAAAAAGAGAAACAGGGTAACATGCAACAATACTATGTTACAGATTTTCAAAACAGGAATAGCTATAACAGTGGTTGTTATATTATCTATTTTTATCATCAAATCTGTTGCTCAGAGTAACATATAGTTATGCAAGAGTGAAAAAAATAATTGAATATTAATGCTTGCTTTCAAGAAGTCTTAAGAAATACTATTATTGATAATTATTGTGTCTAAAAATATGGAATACTTCCTGAATTTGTTTGTCATACTTTCACAGAGGTCATGTTGATCTCTGTATCATTCCAATGTTAGTATATTGCTGTGGAAACAAGCACCCTGCATGTACTTTAATGAATGCAATGAATGTAACTACATTTTCCTAAAATTTAATTTAGTAATCTGTTGGGGGGAAGGGTGGTTGGAATGAAACTGGAGCCTAAGACTGATACTAAATTAAATCTTTGCATTTAAAACATTTTTTTAACTTATAAACATTTTTATGTGTGTATAATTTCAAGATTCAGACTAATCACAAATTAGGGAATTCATTTTTTTCTTTAAAGGATTGGTTGGGGTTAGTGATGGAGCATGACCTGCCATCAGGCCCCTGGTAGAATAAATACAGCCCGACACAGGTTCTTCTGAAATCCACTGGTGAATCTTGGAAATGGACCAGTAACACGGAGGGAAGAGAAGTAACTGTGAATGTGTCTGGATGACAGAGAAAATACGATCTCTCTTTTCAGAGTCAACTTACTGTCATGAGGAACAAATAAAAGATATTTGTCTAGGTTATGTTTAGGAAGTAGATAAGTTGAAGAAATCTTTACTTGTGTGATCTGATACTATATTTGGAACTTTATTTTTTTGGTACCAAAGATTGAACTCAGGTCCTTGTGCATGCTAGGCAGGCACTGTGCTGCTGAGCTATATCCCCGGTCTTTTTGGACTTTTTTTTTTTTTTTTTAAATTTTATTTATTTATGTGTGTGTGTGTGTGTGTGGCCAGCTCAGCCCACCAGGGGGTGGGGCTGGCTGGCATGTGGTGATGGGGGATTGAACCGCGGTCCCTGTGCTTTGCTATGCTTGTTCTATGTAGGTGCTTTAGACCACTGAGCCATCTCACCAGCCCCTGGACTTCTTTTGAGGAAAGAAAAAACCAAGTCTAATGAAGAGCGAAGTAAATTTTTTTTCTATGTGAAGGAGGGAAAACAAGGATCAAAAAATTTAGGATGCAGAAGTATCATGCCAAAGTTAGACATACATTTGTACTGTACATGCCAGAGGATGTACGGTTCATTTTATTTGACAGGTGGTATTTTTATTTCTTTAGTAGGTTTAGAGGGTTTGGAACCGCTACAGCTTTGTAAAGTAGTTTCCCTGATTATTTCAACTCATTGAGTTATTTTTTCCTTTTTTATGCATTTAGTACAGGGTCTACCTACACAGATTGGACTCCTAGTGATCCTCCTGTTTTCAGCCTCCCAAGCACTGGGATTACAGGTGTGTGCCACCACACCCAGTCTTAATAGCTATCTGAGCATGCCCCGGGGGTGGGCCCAGCACCCCAGTCCCTGCTAAACAGGTGCTTTAATCCACTGAGCTATCTGGTCAGCCCTTTTTCAATTTTTTAATTTATTTTTTATGCTTTTACTAGAGGGTCTACAAGGTCTTATTACACAGATCGGACTCAGTGATCCTCTCATTGGGTTATTGAAGAATGAAGGAAACTCATTCTGTGATTATTAAAATGAATCAATTTTATGAGAATTAGCTTTTAGAACCTGCTAAAAATTGAGTAGAAGTTAAAATATTGGTTACAAAATAGGAATCATTAGGAAAAAGTTTTGGGGCCAGGGAGATGGCTTAGTAGAATAAGCACTTCCCTGGCAAGCACAAGGGCCTGAGTTCAATCCCCAGTTCTTCAAAAAAAAAAAAAAAAAAGAAAAGAAAAGAAAGAAAGAAGAAGTTTTGTCAGGACTGTCCAGATAGCTCAGCAGATTAAAGCACCTGTTTAGGCAGATGCAGGGACCAGGTTCAATGCTCAGCATGCTGTGCCAGCCCCCGCCCCCGGTGCGTGCTGAGACAGAGACAGAGACTGAGGCTGGGCATGGTGGTATGTGCCTGTAATCCCAGCACTTGGGGGGCTGAAAATAGGAAAATCATTATGAGTTTAATCTGTGTAGTGAGACCCTGTAGACCCTGTGCTAAACACACACAAAAAAGTTTTGTCATTTTAAAAAAATAATAGGTTAAAGGAAAAATATTTGGAAGATAAAAGTAGTTGAAATCCATGTAGCATTTAAATAATACTTTATCAAGATATAATGTACATATAAAATTCACCTGTTTTGAATGTAAAATTCAGTAATTTTTAGTAAATTTGTAGTTGTGCCTATACTACAACAACTCACTTTGGGAACATTTTAATTACCTGAAACATATACCTAGTGCCTACCCTGTGTGATCATTTCTTAGCTTCTGTTTCTAGACCTGGATAACCACTATTCTGTTTGTCATCTATAAATTTGAATTTTTTGGATGTTTCATACAAATGAAATCATATAATATGTGACCCCTGTCTGGGTCCTTTGACTTAAGTGTGACATTTTTGAGGCTCCATCTCAACTCCCAGCGAGGCTCAGGTCTGCTGAATGTGTACTGACAGCTACAAGCCGAATGGGGCTAGTCTTGGCCTGAAGGTGTAAGCTCACTGAGATTATCCACTACTCCAAACAAAAGCTAATGTAGGCTTGCTGAGATAGATTGGTATGGCTTGGGATTCTGTCTCCACATGTTTTCTCCTAGTGGCAGCAGAGACAAACCTGGAAGTAGACTTTTTTCTTTGATGTTTTTATTTTTTTATTTTTATTTTTTGTAGTTTTTAGGACTGGGTCTACAGGGTCTACAGGGTTTCATTGCATAGATTGGACTCGTAGTGATCTGCCTCTGTTTAGCCTTCCAAGAGCTGGGATTAGCACGCCACCATACCCAGACTCAATAGTTGGCTCAGGTCGCCCTGGGGTCGGGACCCGCATGGCAAGCTGGGGATTGAACTCCGATCCTGTGAATCTGCCTAAGCAGGGGCTTTAATCTGCTGAGTTATTTGGCCGGACCTTGATTGTGTTTTGGTATGAATGTGAATGTGGTTTTTAGCCTCTTTGCGGTTGTGGTTCTGTTTTTTTTATGTCTTCCTTCTCTCTTTCCCTCCATTACTGTACACCAGTTTTCCAAAGTTGGCATTTTCCCCTTTTGACCTCTAGCCTTCTAATCTCTTTCTCTTCTTCCACTTCTCTATTTTCTCCCTAACATTTAAATTTTAACTCTTGAGGGTAAAATTGACATATTGAGGATTTGTATAGTGCATATAATTTTCTAGTTTGTTTTAGATTTTGTATATATAACCACAAGTCTAGTTCATACAGTTAAAGGTGGTAAATTAATGGTTAACTCAGTTTGTCATTTTCTTTTTTTTTTTTTTTTATGTATTTAGTACAGGGTCTATAGAATCTCACTACACAGATTGGACTTGTAGTGATCCACCTGATTTCAGCCTCCCAAATGCTGGGATTACAGGCATGTGCCACTATACTTACTCTCAATTGCCATCTCAGCATGCCCCAGGGGTAGGGCATGGCAGGCTGGGTATTGAACGCCCAGCCTCTACATCTGCCTAAGCAGATTCTTTAATCCGCTGAGCTATCTGGCTGGCCCAGTTTCTTATTTTCTTTTTTCAGTTTCTCATTTTCTATGCTGTATTCCATGCTGTTTTATTGCTGATGTACCAAAAGTGACATAATTGTTCTAAGTAGTTATTCTTCCTGGCATTCAAAGACTGACACTGACTAAGGGTAGCAGAAAATACTGTAGCACAGTGCCAAAGAACCAGGGGCTGGGCCAAATGGGCAGCATCTCCTTATCCCCAAAACCATTGAAGAGATGAGACTGATTGAAGAGATGAGATCTTGAAACAGTCTTGAACTCCCAAAACCAGCTACACCTGGAAGATACTGCAGAGAAGTAGTCATTTCCTAAGGGCATAAATACCAGCAATAAAGCAACCCACCACAGGCTATTTATAATCATTAGTCCAGAAATTAAACTAAAAAGAAAAAAAGATGAGAAGATACTAAAACAAGATGAAACCTCACACATCCTGTTCACCAAAGGCAAACCTAGGGGGCAGTGAGGTGGGACAATCTGAAAGCCACCCACCTGGCCTTTCTGAAGTGATAACAAAGTAATTGAATGGGGCTCTAGAAAAAAATGACATCAGAAACAATTTCTAAGATCACTTCAGGTACTATGATCACAATGTAAACCATGCTTAGTGACTCTAGAACATATACAGATAGAAAAATGGAGGAGTTTAAGAAAATTATGAAAGCAGTGAAGGCTCAGCATAGGAAAGGAATGGAATCCATAAAGTAGATTCAAGCAGATATCCAGGAGAATAAAAATTCCATTGCAAGTATCTGCAGCAGATTAATCCAATGTAAGGACAGTTTCTCAGTTATAGAAGATAGGCTTGTGATTAGTGATCATGAAAAGAATATTTTTTGAAAAATAGCCAGGCATGGTGGCACATACCTGTAATTCCAGCACTTTGGAGGCTGAGGCAGGAGGATTGTTGTGAGTTTGAGACCAGCTGGACTACAAATTGAGCTCAAGGCCAGCTTGAGCTGTCTAGTGAAACCCTGTCTCAAAAAAGAGAGAGAGAAATAGCAAAGGACCATGAGAAATCAATACAACAGCTGCTAGATGAGGCAAAGAATGACAAGATTGAAGTCAATAAAAAAGCAGAAGTTAGCACAAATTATGTATTAAAAAAGAAAAAAACAAACTTCACAGACATCATGGCTGAAAACTTCCCTGGCAAAGAAAAATAATTGACACACAGGTAAGGGGCATATAGAACTCCAATTATCCATGATTAAAAATAAAAACTCTCTACAGCCAGGCATATCAGTCAACATTCCAAAACTTTGAGAACAGAATCTTAAAAGCTATTAGGGAAAAGAAAAAGATTAAAGGTAACCCATAAAAATCACAGCTGAGGGCCAGCCTGATAGCTCAGTGGACTAAAGCACCTGCTTAGGCAGGGCTCAGTGGCTAGGGTTCCATCCCTGGCATGCCATGCTGGCCCCACCTACAGAAGTGCTGAGATAGTGATTGAGACTGGATTTGGTGGTGCACGCCTGTATTCCCAGCACTTGGGAGGCTAAAAACAGGAGAATCATTACGAGTCTGATCTATATAGTGAGACACTGTAGACCCTGTACTATATACAGAAAATAATAATAAATGATTAAAAAATCACATCTGACTTCTCAGC